CGCTGGGTGCTGCCCCCTGACGTTCAAGCTTCTGTTTTCCTCGGGCCACCAGATGGGGAAGGTGAGCTGTGGAAGTGTTAGCGGCCATCATGAACATTTAAGATGGTGTAAGGTAGCAGGAAAGAGCAGCGCATTTATAATATATACATATAATATATACACATGTATTGCTGTGAAACTGACTCTGGGCTAAATAATCTACCTCCTTTCCACACCCACACAAACAAGCCCAAATAACAAACTCTATGAATCATAGATTCTCTTCATTTTTCGCAGTGTTTTTACCCCAGTGCCTAATACATATGAAAAGCCGTATAATTAAATTGGAAATAAAAGCCTGGACATATGTAAACAGATGATGGTGATATCAGAGGAAGTTTGGGTTGGGATCTTTAAATTTACTATAATTTGGCATTACTGTGTAGAATTAATGGCTTTTGCTACACCTCTAAGATCATAGGATAGCATAACCAGAGTAACCATTTGTTGAGAGCCTTCTAATAATCCAGGGACTCTGTTACATGCTTTAGATACAATTTCTTATTTATTCATATGAGAATTCTATACATATATAGCATTTTCCCTGTTTTGTAGATGGAGACTCCAGGCTCATAGAAGTTATGTGACTTTCTCAAGGACATCCCAATAGTAAGAGACAGCTAGGATATAAATTCAAACAGACTTTGTCAACTTACTGTTTTATTCAAAAAGTACATGTTGAAAGATGATATTGGCTTTGAACCCTGGCCTACATCACTCCAGTGTGTCAGTAAGGTACAGTATATTTGCATGTCTGGAGTGTGTTTTTGTTACCATGTTGAGTACCTGGGTTCTTGGTTCATGAAAGAACCTTCCATGGACTGGCAAAAGGAAAGAAAGGGAGAGACAGAGAAACGGAACATGATAGGGCTTTATTACCAAGCAAAAGTACATGCCAAAGTGCACAGGTATCTCTGCCAGAGAGAGACACACGCGCCCCCAACCTCCACCCTCTCCGTCCCACATGCAACTCCTAATGCCCCTCAGGTCCTGTCTAGTGCACAGCCTCTGGCCGATCCAGCCTGAATATTTATGAGCAGCCTCCCTGGGGCATGTCTCTATTTTATTCCTGCCTCAGTTCTTATGTGGCTTTCAAACTCTGGGATGGCTTCAGCTTACTAAGGCAGGTTAGAGACCTTGAGGATAATAGTGATTCAAAGATTTCTTGTAGAGCCAGAAGTTTAAGAGCGAAGTTAAGACTTTCCTATTCTGCTTCCCTCCAAAAGAGGGTGAAAGCCTAATGGTGGGATAATATTGAGGGGTTTTCCTGAGTAGAACTTTCTACCTGTTTACCTCATGGTACAGAATAGAACTGGTTAGGAGTTCTGGCTAATGTTAGAGCATTGTATTTGAAAACTATAACTATTAATTGCTCATATTCTTCATTAAGAAGTACTTGGTTTTAAAGAGAAGATAGCAACAGAGTTCCAGTAATTCTATGGGTGAACTTAGGGGCTGGGTTTTCTTGTGGAGGGATTTTAGTAGACAGCCCCACTGACTTGTCGGAAACAATGACAACCCAAGCTAGATGGTTATTTTTAATAGTAAGGGGACTGCCTGAAAAAAAAATGGCAACTTGTTCAGTTCACTGACAGGGCTCTTAGAGATGTCTAGGCAGGAGGGTGGCATACCACTTCCCTGCGAATGAATACTCTTGGGAATAATGTTTCTTTATTTGCAATGTTTCCTGTTTCTCATCCATAAAACTAATATAGAGTATATTAGGTAAGTTAAATACCTGAAAAAAAAAAGAGATAAGCCAGACTTAAGAGCTGTAAAAGTTAAGAATTTAGCTAAATTAAAAAAAAAAAAATTAAAGGTCAAAGGACCAACAGGGAGAGCTAAAACTAATATAGAGTATATTAGGTAAGTTAAATACCTGAAAAAAAAAAGAGATAAGCCAGGCTTAAGAGCTGTAAAAGTTAAGAATTTAGCTAAATTAAAAAAAAAAAATTAAAGGTCAAAGGACCAACAGGGAGAGCGTTTTATCTAAAAAATTTTGAAGTAAATAATGTTCTAGGCATTGTAAGCAAGTAAGTGGGTTTTCACAGAAGCCTTAAATGGAAGTCAGCTCTAAGCACCCTCCTCAGGCCAAAGTCTGTGTGTTACATTCTTTCATGTGAAAGTGGAGCCTTGGCCACACAACCCCCCACCATTCCCTGCTGAGGAGGGTGGGTATTCACACCACGCATAGTACCAGGATTATTTCATACTTCACTGCCTTGTGGGGGGGCTTTCCCAAATGGAGATGTTTACAATTAAGTACAGGATCATAGTCAGACACTGACAATGGCTAATATTGTGGGATGTACACTTCTTTTCTCCAATGGTTCAGATTTCCCAAATAAAATCTAAACTACCTAAAATGCATTGCAAATTATACTGAAAGCATTTGGAGGATTCGAGTTCCTGTGTCATCACATCTAGCTATGTGACTTTGAGCAATTTATCTGAATTCTCTTAAGCTCCATTATTTCCCCTGTGAAATGGGGCTAATAATATTACCTACTTCCTAAAATTCATTTGATGTTTGCATGAGCCAACGAGGAGGAAGCACTCAGAATAGTCCAATGCATATCACGCTTTCTGTAGGTGACACTGCTGTTGGTGGAGAGCACTTCTTCCCTATCCTAATGCTTGTTCTAGACCGAGGGCTGAACTCTCCATTGCCTCTACACTCCTGGCCTGTCTCTACCTCCTCATTCTTTCAACTGAAGTGCAGTGGTTTATAGGTTCATGAATTTGAAAGCAGAGCCTGGACATTCTTTGTGCAACTCTCTCTTCCTGATGTTTTTTGGGAGTGAATGTTGTCTTAGGAATCTTGTATTTTCTACTATCCTCAGCCATGCATTATTAAGCTTAATGATAAATGCCTACAGTGGGCAACCTTTCCAATTCTAGGGAAAAGAAGGCAACCATGTTCTCTTATGTCAGCTCAATCAGTAATAATGGTGAGTTTGTGTATGTTTTAATTGCTGCCTTAATTCTTCATCATAATTTTCAGTTGGTTCAGAACACAGGAGAGGAGGATTACTCATTAATGGGATCCTTCAAACACTACAATGGCTGTCATGTAATTATCACTGGAAAAAAAAAAAACCAGTTGAGGTTAGTTTTAAAGAGAAGTGGTAGTAGTTTGATTGACTTTCCCAACAGGAACAAACAAAGTTGTCTTTTCCACAAAAACACTTTTGCAACTGGGGTCTTTACACTTGGCTCCTAAAAATGTGCCCACCACTGATTATTTGGCATTTGGCATTCAGATTTCCCGACCCCCATGTGGAAGCCTGATCCTGAAGACATATATTTAAATTTTTATTAATTTTTCAGGTATTTATTTAGGGGGCTCACCACACTGGAGAGAGTATACAGTATAATAACTTGTTTTCATATCTCTGCTCTGCCTCTTAATAGCTGTGGAATTTTCTGCAAATTACTTAAACTCACTCTTTCAGTTTACTCACTCATAAATTGGGAATAATAGTACCTACCTTATAGGGTTGTTATGAAGATTAAATTAGTTCATAACTATAGAGCATGTATTATGCACCTAGCATACAGGAAGCATGTATTAATCCCTAACTGTTAAGACTATTTTCTAAACTATGTTCTAGGCACTGTGCTCATTGTTGTGAGTATAATGGTGAACAAAATGGATAACTGAAATTTCATTTAGGGCTGAGTTAGATGGTTTAGTCTGAGCCAGTTTCCATTCTTTACTATTATAACTCTCTGAGATCTCCCAAAATGAGTGAAGAATGATGTATGACAGAAATTAATACTTGGATCAAGAGAAAATTTAAACTGCATTGTAACAGTATTTATTTTTCATAAAATGAATCAAATAAATCAAATCATTATTGCTCTAAGAGCAATACACAAACTAGGTAGCGTAAGAATATTTTCTGGCTCTAAGACAAAAACTTATTCTAAGATTTTTCTGAGATGTTTTGTATATTTAAAATAGTAGGTATTTTAAACTGGTAAGATCCACCTTCTTTTCTGGTTGGCACCAAGTGCATCTGCACAGGATCTGACTTGAAGTTGTTTTCTCTTGATGTTGGGAAGTGTATTTCAGTAACAAGAGGCCTCTCATAACAGCAGCACCGGTACCTTGCTTCAGTCTTCAGAAGTCTTGTCAGCCGTTCCTAATAGAAGTGGGAAGAAAAAACAAAACCACAGAGAGCTTTGGAATCTTTCAACATTCACCTACAACCCAGAATAGTATATACTAGAGGATCAATTTAACGCCTACAAGAAACATCTGCTGGTCATGATTGCTGAGGCCAAGGAAGGAAGTTGAGCTAGTGAGCGTGAATCATGAGTCATTCTTAAAGCAGTGGCAGCATGATTTAAACTGGGAGTCAGAGTCCGAGAAGCCATGGAGATTGCTGAACCGGAGAGGCGTGCTTTAATGGACGGATGATCAGGAGGGGGATTTTCCATTGTGGTAAAACACTGACCTAAGCCATTATCACTTACTGAGCTTCAAGTCAGGCTATTACCACTCCCTTTCACAGCACCAGTATTGCTGAATATTAAGGATGGTAGAAAGAAACAGATAACTGTTAATTATTTTTAATATGCTTAATAGTTCTCTAATCATGTTTTTCATTACAAGAGCAATAGAACCACACGAAATAAGTGAACAAAACCAGCCCTACTCTCACCCTTCTAATGCCACAATTTAACCAGTTTGATTTATCTGTTCTAGCCTCTTCTTATGTTAAAAGATGTATATGTATGTTTTGACTTCCGCTTTATATTTTATGTTGGACTGCACAATCCAGCCTTTTAAATGGATATTCTAGGGGTCCTCAAACATGTCAGTATTCTCATTGAGCTCATTAAGTGATTATGCTTGCTCTTGAATCTAGAAATTGAGATAGGAGAGAGGAGTCAAATTCTGAGACTGTTAATAAGGGTTAGATTTATAAAGTGGGGCTGGTGTGGAATCTGATCTACATAGCAGGTGAGCAAGGACTGGGACTCCTGGGAATGGCAGCATTGTGTGCTCTGTCCTGGGGACCAAAACACTTTGCAAGGAGCTGCCTGATGTTAAGAGAGGCTTTTAATGGGACTTTTCATTATGCAAAGGGAAAGCTACAATCCCAGGGTAGTTGTGGCAAGTAAAGGGTTTGGAGGTAGTAACACAGGAGCTGGCCCAGAAACACAGCCAGGATCTAACATCAGGTTGAAAAAACATATACTAAATAACACAATCTAACGAGTTTCTCTATATATCTCACTAACTGATGTGTCTGCCATTTAATGGACTCCCAGTTTCACACTGCTGCTTCTTTATTAACAACCACCATGCCATCAGTTTTTTTTTAATTGATGGAAAAACAGTGCTCTTTGAGAGTAGGTACAGGAAGAACGTTAGCTTCCTTGGCTCCTCCTTTTATCCCCCCAAATACGCTATTAAGCTGAATCCTACAAGCTTGGCAGCTGGCCAGGGCTAGGGAGAACATGGCTTAATGAGTGGGCTCTAGAAGTCATGTAATATTTTATCTTGTGTTCTTCCTATCTTTTTTTTAAATTGTTATTCTCTCGTCTTCGGTAGCAGCTGCGTTTAGGAGAATTAGAAGAGGTGAGTGTATCCGTGTTTCTTAGAGAATATGGGGAAAGCTAAAGAAGTTTGAAGAAGTAGTTTACAATGTTAAGAAGCGGGGAGCAGAGAATAATGGTAATCATATGAACAGATTGCTTATTATATGCCAAGCACTGTGCAAGGTACTTTCTATTTCTGTAATCTTCACAGAGATGGGTAATGTTATTATCCCTGTTTTACAGATGGGGAAAGTCATGCATAGGCAGATTAAGAAATTTGCCCAAGGTTACATGGCTAATATGTGGTGGAACCAGGAGTCAAATCCAGGGAGTCTCATGCCAGAGCCCAAACTCTTAGCCCTTAGGCTGTTCTGCCAGGCAATGAGCAATAACCGGAGAAGGTTTGAGGAAAAGTTTCCCCAAGAAGTCTCCAAAATCCTTTAGGGAGAGACCGGACATTCTGCTTTCATGCGGGATGGGAAGTTGGTTACTAAAGAAAAGTGCTGGCCTCCTGAAGGCTAGAGAACCGGCTAGAGAACCCGGACATATTCGAGTTAAAGATGAGCATGAGAGAAACATCTTCAGTGTCCCCCACAGAACCTATAATAACCTTTCTCTCACATAGACTCATGAGGAGAGACTTGGAGGAGAAGAAATATGTGTTCTAAGAGGCGTATGCCCAGTACTAATTGAGCAAATGGACTTCATTGATATAAAACGTATTTTTAACAACCAAATACAAAATTTTCTAGCTTGTGTATTTATAGCAGACATTTCTCAGACTCTAAGTATTATAATCAGCATCTCCTGGAGTAATACAACCAACCTGGCAAAGACTAAAATTAAAAATAAACTCTCTACCACACCTGGAGCCCCCTAAAACACAGACATAGGTAGGCTGATGTAGATGTAGTGAGGTATTTTCACTATATTTCACTCCACTCAGTTTCAATCGCAGGACCCTATAGTGTTTCTTAACTCGGGATTTTATTGCAAAGTTGGCCTAGGTTTTGGAAGATCTCAAGATTAGCAAGTGACCTATCCAAGTTCATAGTGGGCCGTGAAATTGATCAATATTAATCAATATTGATCAATATTGATCACAGTGAGACTTTTTGAATACCTTAGCTTAGGCTGCGATACATTAGATTAGAATGTTTCTTATTGAACTCCTGCTTTGTTGCCAGGCATTGTGAATACAGGGTCAAACTGCCTTCAGGCTGGAACATCCAGANTTATTGAACTCCTGCTTTGTTGCCAGGCATTGTGAATACAGGGTCAAACTGCCTTCAGGCTGGAACATCCAGACACATAGCTGAGGTAGCAGTGGAAGCCTTCAGATCTGTCCAGGTGTCAGCACAAGGTCAATGGAAGGGGCTCAGATACACTGAAGTTACCCCTGGGAGCATCTGGTTGCCAGTGTGATTCAAGATGAATATTCTGACATCTCTTGAACTTTGTTTTTCCTTGTTATTTCCCTAATATTTACCTCCCAAATAAATATGATCTCCATTGCACCCTGCACTAATAGAAACTTTTTATACTAAAATCTACAAAATGATTAGTAGGTGAACTTCTTCAGGGTCAGGATAAGCGAAGCACATTAATAGTTTCCATAAACTCTAGACTCTCTTCTACACAAAATAAAACTTTTAAAAAATTGCTTTGAATTTACCTCCTTAATACTTGTTTTGTCTTGAATGCATTCTTTCAATATTACATTTGAAGCTGGTTCAAAAAAGACAGTGTTAGTTCAACCACTAAAACAAATGACTGTTTCAATTACTCCAACTATCAAATTAGACCAGGTTCAACTCACACTCAAGATCTGTGATCTGAAATTGGTGGTAATCTCAATTGGTGAGAAGAAGGGTTGCTATTTTAAAAATGATTAAAAGTCTTTTATTATAAGGATTGTGTAATAAATATGCAGAAAGTTTGGAAAGTAACGAGACAAAATCATCTATTGTCTCAACATCCCAAAATACTTTTGTATTAATACGTACTGAAAATGCCATGCACATCAGTAAGCAAAGGGGATACATAAGAAAGCAAAAGAGGTAAGAGCCATGCCTTCTTGGAGTTTTCAGTTCATAGGGCAGACAGACCAGTAAACATACAAACAAAAAATTATGACATGGTTAAAAATAGGACTGTGTGCATATGGAGCTGTGGAAGCACACAGGAGAGCCAGGTAGTACAGTTTTGTGAATTTGGGATGTATCCATGATGGCTCTTTGGAGAAAAAGTTGATGTTTAAAGATAAGAAGAAGTTAGCCTCATAGAATGGGGAGACATGGGGAAGGGAATCTTTAGAGGGTTTCAGGCAAAAGGAATATTACATGCAAAGGCTCAAGAATGAGAGACCATCAGATCTCGCATATCAGGTGAACCAGTAGTAGGTTGGTATGACTAGGCTTCAGAGCATGAGAATAGGAGGTGGTTTGGCAAAGCAGTAGATGGTGAAGAGCCCAATACCATGTCTTGCATGTGCTTTGTCCTGAGTAGTGGGGACCCATGTGATGATGGTATTTTGTGTCCACATAGAT